CTCGCTATCTTGCGGATACACTTCCACATCTGCGGCAGAGGAGTTTCGGACGTAATGGTGGAGACATAAAACACGCAACATTCACGTTTAACCATACGGATGGCCCTATGGGCCTAAGGGCCATCGCACTCGCTTTCCAAATTAAAAGAAAAGAATCGGCCGTCTGCCAGCGGCGGTGTCTCTTTCAGGCTGCACGCTTACAGTGGACAGCCCGAGCACAGTCTGCATTCCACCAGGGAACGCACTTCCGTGCTCCCTGAGAGGAAGAGCGAGGAATAGAACTGAGGGCAGCGTCGAAGACGGTGCCATGAAAAAGGAGGAGAGAGCAGCACTGAGGGTAAATAGGTTCCAGTCTGCCTTAGCAAACTGCCACCTAGGGAAGGAGAGGGGAGGGTGAAAAGAGAAAAAGGTAACAAGGATGAGGAAATGGTCACTACCATGGAGGTCATCAAGAACCTGCCATGTGAAATCTAAGTAAAGAGACGACGAGCAAAGAGAAAGATCAAGACAGGAAAGGGTGAGAGTCCGAGAGTCCAAATGCGTGGGCTCACCAGAATTCAGAAGAGACAGGGAAGAAGAGAAAATGAACGGCTCAAGAAGGCGACCCCAGGTGTTCGTCAGAACATTACTCCAAAGGGAATGACAATTGAAATCACCTAGCAGTAGCACAGGCTCCGGCAAGGAGTCCAGTAGGTGTTTCAGATCAGGAAGAAAGAGCGGGACACTCGAGGGGAGACAAATGGAACAAACGGTGTACCATTTCCTCACAAAGATACGAACAGCAGAACAATGGAGAGACGAAGGAAAAAGTAAGGGAGGGGAGGGGGGTAGAGAAAAGAATAACCACGAAAGCAACCAGGATGAGCACCAAGCATCGGCTCTTGGAGACAGACACAAAGGTACAAAAATCACAAAATCAGAAGTTGGAGTTCAAGGAAATTGGCGTAATAACCACGAACGTTCCATTGATGAATAGACATCGACATGAAGAGAAAGGACAGCAACAGAGAACAACGAAGAAACAAAGGTGAAAAGGGAACACAGCATGTTAAAGAAGCGCAGGATCAGGGTCAGCGAAGTTAGGGTTAGGGGGCATGGGTAAACTGAGTAAAGAAGGAGGGAAAGGAACTGGAGGACCGACCAGGGGCAGACGAGTAGGGTCCGGAGGAGGAAGAGGAGGAGAGGGGGGATAACCAAGGGTCAAGGACAGCAGCAGGAGGGTCAGAAACCAGGGAGTGCACCTCAGCAAGGGCAGCAACCGAGAGAGAAGCAGGGGCCAAAGAGACCTCCATAGCAGGAACAGGGGGCGTAACCACCGAAACGGGAGGGGACGGAGCGAGAGAGTCAGAGGTAGGGGGCGAGGAAGAAAGCAAAGCCTTTTTACCCGCCGGGGAGGAGGAAGGAGAGGAGGCAGGCTTACGCTTCTGATTCAAAGAGACAGGCGTCCCAGTGTAACAGACAGGTATTAGCTCTACTCTGTCCTTTACCCTGACCGTGAATATGCTTACTTAAACTTAATTCCAAGGGACCCCAGAGCTAACTCAGCCGAGTCCCACACAGTCCCACACCACGTGGTCTTAGCCGCTCAATCGGCTAAGATTCTACAGCCACATGATGTCGTACTAGGTTTTCTAGCAAAATCAAGGATCTCTTTATGCCGCCACCACCAGACCATTAACCAAAAGCTATCAATTAATCGGGGTCTGGACCAATTAATCAATTATTTAACCTTTGGGGCTTAATCCCCTAATTACTTGGAAAAGGAGGATGAATTTACGTTAAGTGTGGGAATTACTTTAACAAAACAAAGGAATATATTAAACTCTTGAACTGGGCTAGGCTTGCGACCTAAATAACCCCAGACTCGGGAAGGCCACATAGCAAGGACCATCACATGTAAAATCATTCATGGAAATAATAAAATACAGAGGAACAATCTAATCATTTATTTATGCAAATCTAAAAAAAACTAATAAAAAATCACTCCCTGACTTAACACTCCCTAACATGACTTAGTGTCCTAACTTTTAATATTCCCTATTGAGACAGGAATGAATCATTTCCCTATACCAAAACTCAGCAACTTTTACCTTGACTATGAAACCAGCTGATAGAGTGCTGATCTCTGGAGAGGTGAGAATGGTTGACCTCTCCAGTTGCTGCCCGAATCCACACTGACTAGCCTGTCCTCCGCTAAGGACTGACCTAGGCTAGTAAGTATTACTCCGCCAGGTTTATTAAATTTACTAAGCAGGGTTTAAATTGAACAACTAATCTCTATTGTACTGAACAACCCAGATGGTTGAACTCTTATAAAACTGATGGTAATTGTACAGGCATCTTAGGGAAAGCTATTTCCAATTACAATATTGGCTAGTGATCTGAATTTGAACTTTGTGAATTACTAAAGTGGTCACTCCCAGGGCCGCGTGACCTTGACATGGTAAGTCATCCGGAACCCAAACTAGTCCCTCCACATGCCATCATTTCTCTGCCTGTATACAACCCTGATCTCAACCTTCATTCTACATACATGTAAACCTAACATACATACATGAGCCAAATTAGTTATTACTGTATCTTGTCGAAAATATTCATTATATGTTGCATTAATACAGAGAACCAGCCATCTTGTAATCTTAAACGCTAATCCCTTTAATCCCTGGAGGGATGACCTTTTTCTGCTGAGTCAGGTCGAGTACCGTCTTGCTCCAAATTTCCAAAACTACGCAGTCCCCATGTCTATGAGAATCTATACTGAATAATTTCTTACAGCAAACCTAGTTTGTTACACCAGCAACAATGTACTGGGCAACGGATTCTAGCGTCTCTCGACAGAAGCAGAACAAGAGCATACACGACGGCGGTCGGGAGAGCGATGGACATCAGCCCGTACTGACAGGCGGCGAGGAGAGCCAATAGACGGAGAAGGATGGGAAGGGGGATCGAAGGGACACGAGGAAGAAGACACAGGAGACATAACAGGCCAGGCAGAAAGAAGGAGAACCCCAGACAGAGGACCAGGAAGGGGACCCTTCAGGATAGAACTCAAAGAAACAGAGGAGGGGGCAGTGGGCGTGTCAGGGTCCAAGGCCTGGAAACGGTTTTGAGTCTGAGGAAAGTGGGAAGGACAAAGAGAGGAAGTGCACAACACGCCAGCATAAGAGACATTAGCATAAGGTGGGAGACGGCGAACTTGGCGCCTCGCCTTATGAAGAGACAAATGCTCCCGTTGCTTCAAGTTGAGGACAGCTGCCTCAAGCTTGTAATGAATACATGCATGGGAGAAGGTAGGGTGGGCCTCACTGCAATTGAGGCAGCGAGCTTGGGGAGAAGTGCACTCCGACTTAGAGTGACCTTCGCCACCACACAAAGGACAGAGAGAGACAGTACCAGAGCAGCGGAGGGCACCATGCCCAAACCTCCAGCCCTTATTACAGACCCGAGGAGAGGGAATGTACTCCTGGACGGAGCACCTGGCACCAGCAAGAATGACAGGGCAGAAGGGTCCTACCATCAAAGGTAATCTTCACAACCCAAAGGGGTTGACGGCGAAGACCACGAGGGGGACGAGTAAACGAGTATATCTGGAGGACAGAATGGCCCTGGGCTTCGAGGATATGCCGAATATCTTCGTGGCAGTCCTGGAGATTCAGAACATCGGTTGCAACATGGGGTGGGAGGAGAATAGTGCCAACACTGGCATTCAACCGAGCGTTCTTGGAGACCCGAACAGGGATCTCGCCAAGGCAGGACAAGGCGGCCAAGTGGGAGGCTACATCCTGAGAAGGATCAGCAACGACACGTGTGTGACGAGATGGGTGGGGTGGAAAGTAACAGAGGCATCTACGGAATCAACAAGGTGCCTATGGAGGGAGAAATCGTCAGGAGGCGTAGAATCAAGAGGGAGGAGATCAAAGTATTTGGCCCACGAAATGGGACGAAACAAGGCTTGATACATATCAGTATGGGAAGGAATCGGGCGAGCGCGGCCGTGACAAGGACGGAGTTGAGAACCCCCAGAGAGAGAGGGGTTAAAAGGCCCAATAGTCACAACTAAAGACTGAGCCGGGCCAGGGGACGAGGTGGTCACCACTGGGGGCTTGAGGCTCGACCCAACCACAGAGGAGGGAGGGGAGCCGAGGGGAGTAGTCAGGAGGGTCAAAGGAGGAGCACGGTCAGGGCCCAATGCAGCGGGGGCTACATAGCCCGGTCTTCCAACACAGTCGGACTCGAGGGCTTGGTCGCCACCCCACGAGCCTGAGAAGGTAAAAGAGGAATGGATTGCAACATAGAGACGAGAAGTAAGACGTTCATTCACGAATGTGCCCCCACACCCACCACTGAACCACAATTAGAGGCAGGACACCCAACAAGAGACACGTTGCCGATCTCGCCGGGGCCCCTCCAGGGGTGCGTCGTGAGTATACACCCCACAAACGTCACCTTAAGCGCCGTCAGTCCGTCGAGATCGGGTTCAGTGACGAAAGGGGGATTGACAATAAAAGGTTCCCCTCGCTCGAGACGTTGGATACTATAGTTCTACGGGTGCAAGAGTATGCCTCCTCAAACACCCGGGCGTCAAAACAAAAGAAGGCCAAAAGAATGATCCAAACAGGCACAAGGTCAGTGGGATATGACAACGAGAAAGGAGAAGAGGGGGGGGGGGGGGAGAAAAACGAAACAAAGGGAAAAGGAAAAGGATAAAAATGTCCAGCAGAATTAGAGAGGATAGCAGCAGGAGCACAAGGCTACAAAAGGACAGAGGACTGTCTTAAGGAGCATCACACTCCGGCAGCCGCCCACCAAGCTGGACAGGGAGGAGGAAATGTAACAAAAGCCATCAAAGATTGAGGAAAGATGTACAGGTTCGTAAGGGATTGTGTAACTGCTTCGTGAATCTGGCCCGAGTGAGACATGGAGAGATATACCACTACGGGAGACCCTGCAGGCTATACGCCCTAGTGTACATAAGGTTAGACAAAACGCCTCCATCTTACCGTTGGTCGTGCTGTTTGTGGTGGTCGAGTTGGAACTACTGGTTGTGTTTGTTCCGTTGGTTGAGGTAGTCCCTGTTGCCGTTGTATTTGTTCCGTTGGTTGAGGCAGCCCCTGTAGTGGTTGTATTTGTTCCGTTGGTTGAGGTAGTCCCTGTAGTCGTTGTATTTGTTCCGTTGGTTGAGGTAGCCCCCGTAGCTGTTGTATTTGTTCCGTTAGTTGAGGTAGCCCCTGTAGCCGTTGTATTTGTTCCGTTGGTTGAGGTAGCCCCTGATGCCGTTGTATTGGTCCCGTTGGTTGTTCCCGTGCTAGTTGAATTGGCAGTAGAATTAGAGCCATTGTTACCATTGTTACCGTTGTTAGTGCCTGGTGACGTACCGTTAGTGGCCGTTGACGTACTGTTGGTGCCAGTTGATGTGTCGTTGGTGCCTGATGTTGTACCATTTGCGTCTGCGGCCGTACCGTTGGTGCCTGATGACGTACCATTTGTGTCTGCAGCTGTACCATTTGTGTCTGCAGCCGTGGGTCGTGAGGGAGTCTATCCCCTGGTCATGAGGGAGTCTATCCCCTGGTCATGAGTGGTCGTGAGGGAGTCTATCCCCTGGTCATGAGGGAGTCTATCCCCTGGTCATGAGGGTCGTGAGGGAGTCTATCCCCTGGTCATGAGGGTCGTGAGGGAGTCTATCCCCTGGTCATGAGTGGTCGTGAGGGAGTCTATCCCCTGGTCATGAGGGTCGTGAGGGAGTCTATCCCCTGGTCATGAGGGTCGTGAGGGAGTCTATCCCCTGGTCATTAGTGTCCTGAGGGTGACTATCCCCTGGTCATTAGTGTCCTGAGGGTGACTATCCCCTGGTCATTAGTGTCCTGAGGGTGACTATCCCCTGGTCATTAGTGTCCTGAGGGTGACTATCCCCTGGTCATTAGTGTCCTGAGGGTGACTATCCCCTGGTCATTAGTGTCCTGAGGGTGACTATCCCCTGGTCATTAGTGTCCTGAGGGTGACTATCCCCTGGTCATTAGTGTCCTGAGGGTGACTATCCCCTGGTCATGAGTGGTCGTGAGGAAGTCTATCCCCTGGTCATATGAGTGGTCGTGAGGGAGTCTATCCCCTGGTCATTAGTGTCGTGAGGGAGTCTATCCCCTAGTCATGAGGGTCGTGAGGGAGTCTATCCCCTGGTCATTAGTGTCCTGAGGGTGACTATCCCCTGGTCATGAGTGGAGTGACTATCCCCTGGTCATTAGTGTCCTGAGGGTGACTATCCCCTGGTCATTAGTGGTCCTGAGGGTGACTATCCCCTGGTCATTAGTGTCCTGAGGGTGACTATCCCCTGGTCATTAGTGTCCTGAGGGTCTATCCCCTGGTCATTAGTGTCCTGAGGGTGACTATCCCCTGGTCATTAGTGTCCTGAGGGTGACTATCCCCTGGTCATTAGTGTCCTGAGGGTGACTATCCCCTGGTCATTAGTGTCCTGAGGGTGACTATCCCCTGGTCATTAGTGTCCTGAGGGTGACTATCCCCTGGTCATTAGTGTCCTGAGGGTGACTATCCCCTGGTCATTAGTGTCCTGAGGGTGACTATCCCCTGGTCATTAGTGTCCTGAGGGTGACTATCCCCTGGTCATTAGTGTCCTGAGGGTGACTATCCCCTGGTCATGAGGGTCATGAGGGAGTCTATCCCCTGGTCATGAGGGAGTCTATCCCCTGGCCATGAGAGAGTCTATCCCCTGGTCATGAGGGTCGTGAGGGAGTCTATCCCCTGGTCATGATGGTCGTGAGGGAGTCTATCCCCTGGTCATTAGTGTCCTGAGGGTGACTATCCCCTGGTCATTAGTGTCCTGAGGGTGACTATCCCCTGGTCATTAGTGTCCTGAGGGTGACTATCCCCTGGTCATTAGTGTCCTGAGGGTGACTATCCCCTGGTCATTAGTGTCCTGAGGGTGACTATCCCCTGGTCATTAGTGTCCTGAGGGTGACTATCCCCTGGTCATTAGTGTCCTGAGGGTGACTATCCCCTGGTCATTAGTGTCCTGAGGGTGTCTATCCCCTGGTCATTAGTGTCCTGAGGGTGACTATCCCCTGGTCATTAGTGGTCCTGAGGGTGACTATCCCCTGGTCATTAGTGTCCTGAGGGTGACTATCCCCTGGTCATGAGGGTCGTGAGGGAGACTATCCCCTGGTCATTAGTGTCCTGAGGGTGACTATCCCCTGGTCATTAGTGTCCTGAGGGTGTCTATCCCCTGGTCATTAGTGTCCTGAGGGTGACTATCCCCTGGTCATTAGTGTCCTGAGGGTGACTATCCCTGGTCATTAGTGTCCTAAGGGTGACTATCCCCTGGTCATTAGTGTCCTGAGGGTGACTATCCCCTGGTCATTAGTGTCCTGTAGGGTGACTATCCCCTGGTCATTAGTGTCCTGAGGGTGACTATCCCCTGGTCATTTAATATATAATTTATTATTTTTTTCCAATAGTGGATTGTATGTTTAGTTGAATTTTCCTACAAGTCATATCCGACCCATGTTGGGGGGGGGGGGTATTAATTATAGCCTATCAATCGAAAATGACAGATTGAGAGGAACATTTATGGCAAGTGCTAATACAACTGGGGGCTAGTGTGTATAATGGCCAGTGTTATCTGACTAGTAGGCTCCACACTGAGTTACTGTTGTAGAACACGTGGTAGCCGGCCAGTGTTGTGGTGTTGATGGCGTCAGTGTGTACAAGCTTGGACTAGATCAGTCAGTCTATTTTTGCTACACATAAATTATTTAATTACATGTATATAATAATACTCTGAAATGAAAGGATGAGATTATTGCTTACCCTTGGTGTCTGGGGTTTTCCTATGGCCGTAAACAGTAAATTACACAATAATGAAGAGCTCTTAAGATATGTATGTATACTGTACGGATACAGTGCCTTCCCCTGGATACGATGGTGTCGATTTGTGTTGTCCAGTGCCACGAAAATGGCTTGGTGAGCACAATTATTTGGGAGACCAGCACGACACGTTTTCCGCTCCGGGTTGGAAAAATGGCTCTTGCCTCCTCCTCCCTCCCCGCACCGGGTGTCTCCTCTCAGTGCATTATATCAAGAGGTGGGAAGAGGGTTTATATTTAATTTATTTTAGTGCTCATAATTATGTTCGCTCCAGGGGAATGTTTTTATGATGTTTGCAGTCCAGAGACTGGTGTTTAAAGAAGAAATTTTACTATAATATTAGCTGGTGATTTCAAAATTGGTGACGTGGCAATCTTTTCTCCTTTTTTTTCTCCCTGAAAATGCCACGGGCCTAACCAATATTATTGGCATGGGTGATTAAAATATTTTGTATTGGTACGGGTTAATTTGTTAGTACAAGAACAATAGCAATGTTAGCTGTATTTTGTATTAAAGATTATTAAAGGAAGTCGTTTTTCTTTCCTGACAACATTCATCCCGCCCACCACCCTCACTACCCCGCCCACCACCCTCATAACCCCGCCCACCACCCTCACAGCCCCGCCCACCACCCTCACAGCCCCACCCACCACCCTCACAACCCCACCCACCACCCTCACAGCCCCACCCACCACCCTCACAACCCCGCCCACTACTCTCACAGCCCCACCCACCACCCTCACAACCCCGCCCACCACCCTCACAGCCCCACCCACCACCCTCACAACCCCTCCCACCACCCTCACAGCCCCACCCACCACCCTCACAACCCCGCCCACCACCCTCACAGCCCCACCCACCACCCTCACAACCCCGCCCACCACCCTCACAGCCCCACCCACCACCCTCACAACCCCACCCACCACAACAGCATTGCGCTAGTAACTGTTTGGGAACCCAACAGAGGACGCTAATGACTGTTGAAAAGGCAACAGAAGGCGCTGATTGACTGCTGAGAAGCCAACAGAGCCGCTACTGACTGTTGAGAAGTCAACAGAGCCGCTAGTGACTGTTGAGAAGTCAACAGAGCCGCTAGTGACTGTTGAGAAGTCAACAGAGCCGCTAGTGACTGTTGAGAAGTCAACAGAGGGAAACAGTGACTACTGTGGAGGGTGAGTGTGTGAAGCTAGAGGGGGAGGAAATATCACCCAGGGGGGTGTACAGCAAGTATACACCTGGTTGATGGGGTTCTGGGAGTTGTTCTACTCCCCAAGCCCGGCCCGAGGCCAGGCTCGACTTGTGAGAGTTTGGTCCACCAGGCTGTTGCTTGGAGCGGCCCGCAGGCCCACATACCTACCACAGCCCGGTTGGTCCGCCACTCCTTGGAGGAATTTTTTATATCCTTCCCTTCCTAACTTCATATATTCCTTCCTATATGCTTCCTAACTTTTTATATCCTTCCCCTGGACCTGCTCAAACGGAAAGACTAGTTGACCTTGACGTAAAAGTTCGGAAAGTGGCTTGCTCTTCAGATCATTACCTCGAACTGTAACAAAAATATGCACTTAATGGAACACGGAGGGAGGGAGGGAACTGTCAAGGGAAAGCGCCAAGCCATTACGACTATATAGCACTGGGAAGGGTTCAGGATTCAGGATTTGGGATGGGACGGAGGGGAAGGAATGGTGTCCAACCACTTGTGGACGGTCGGGGATTGAACGCCGACCTGCATGAAGCGAGACCGTCGCTCTACAGTCCAGCCCAAGTCCAAGTGCTTGGACTTGTCCAAGTGCAGTGAAAAGCTCTGTACCTCAGGGTACAGTCCTTGCACCACTGCTTTTCCTTATTCTCATATCAGATATAGACAAAAATACAAGTCACAGCTTCGTATCATCCTTTGCAGATGACACAAAAATCAGTATGAAAATTACCTCGGCTGAGGACATTGAAAAACTTCAAGCTGATATTAATAAAGTTTTCGACTGGGCATCAGAAAATAACATGATGTTTAACAGTGATAAATTCCAGGTACTCAGGTACGGTAAAAATGAGGACCTTAAACATAATACAGAGTACAAAACACAATCAAATGTGCCCATAGTAGGAAATCAGCATGTAAAGGATTTGGGAATAATAATGTCGGACGACCTAACGTTTAAGGAGCATAACCAAGCAAATATTGCGACAGCCAGAAAAATGATAGGATGGATTACGAGAACTTTCAAATCCAGGGATCCCATCACAATGGTTGTACTCTTCAAGGCACTTGTGTTGTCCCGTCTTGAGTACTGCTCAGTACTCACTTCCCCCTTCAAAGCAGGAGAGATTGCTGAAATAGAGGGAATACAGAGAACATATACGGCACGCATAGACGCAATAAAGCACCTAAATTATTGGGATCGTCTCAAAGCCCTCCAAATGTACTCACTAGAAAGAAGACGAGAGAGATATCAAATAATATACACCTGGAAGATACTGGAGGGCCAAGTACCAAATCTACACAGTAAAATAACAACGTACTGGAGTGAACGACATGGAAGAAAATGTAGAATAGAACCAATGAAGAGCAGAGGTGCCATAGGCACAATCAGAGAACACTGTATAAACATCAGAGGTCCGCGGTTGTTCAACGTCCTCCCAGCAAGCATAAGAAATATTGC